AGATAGAGAAACAATAATTAAACGAAATGAACATGAACGGCACTTGCGAAGAAATTGGAACCACTTCCCGAAATAATAAACACTTGCCAGAAAACCAACATAAGAATTGCAAATTAAAACAATTAAACCAATTAATTGGAGTTTCATGACAGATAGTTCAACAAAAATGTACTAAAAGTCCATTACAAATCATAAATTTGGTTTGCACCGGGCATTAAAGGGCAACAGAGGAAGCGAAACATTGATTCCTGAGCGGAACGTCGAATTGCTGGCTACAGAACTCCAAATCCGCCGCAATTTACATTATATTTTGGGCAATTCGCATTTTTATAGTACAAGTATGATTTTCTTAGGAAATTATGAGCAAATTTGACTCTTAATATCAAAATTTCAGTAATTTCCCTTATTCTGAAGTTTACTAGTCCAAGCCCCACAGTGTGCATGGAGCTTTTGTTTTTTGGATATTTCCCTTTTTCGTGTTATGTTTAATTTCTTAAAATTGATTCAGTACTGTGGATATTTTTGACTTCTCTTTACTCAAGTAATGTGATTGAAGTTTGTCGTTTCCAACTCGGACGGGGTCAACATGGTGGTTGAACAAATGCAATTGAAGGGCACCCTTGAGGGCCACAATGGATGGGTTACCCAAATTGCCACATTTACACGCAACGATAAGACAACTGTCATCTCTTCATCTCGCGGTAAGGATTGTCTATATATGTTTTTGCATTACCTTTTTATGATCTTTCCCTACTTTTTGCTTTTTTTGAGATCGTACAATCATCCTCTGGGATGTGGACAACATCGCCACTGAAGGAGAGTCGATTGGACGTCCCGTGAAGGCTTTGACTGGACACAATCACTTTGTGTCTGATGTCGCGATCTCATCGGATGGACAGTTCGCTCTGTCTGGATCATGGGACAAGACCCTGCGCTTATGGGATCTGACTACGTGAGCATTTTCTTGTTAGCTGTCTCCCTCCATTTATTCCTTTTCTTTCAACCTTATTATCGCAGTTTTCACAATTCATTTTTAGTCTCAATCTTATTCATTTTATTTGAAGAAGCTAATAGTTTATCGGCAAAATTTCTTATCAAAATAGTAACGCGTGTGGCCGTGTGCAACAATGGGCAGTTTTGGTTTTTTT